GCATTCCTGGCAGAAGAAACAGACAAGCAGAAGCCAGCTGGGGCCTGTGAAGTGCAGCCCCTGTGGTGGTGTGGAGGGTACAGAAGGTTGGGGGTGGGGTTTAGCTGAATTGGGGCACAGAGGGGAGCTTTGAGGGCTGAGGCACAGGAGAGTGACACGATCAATGGCAGCTTTCCCACCTTCAGGGCGTCAGCCCCTGGCGGTCTCCATCCCTCCGGCGGCCCCTCTCCCGAGGGAGGCTGGGTCATCACTGCCCAGGTGACTGAGTCCTGCTCTCCATGTCTCCCTCAGGAATCCCCACATTGTCCTCAACATTGACCTGGCCCCCACCATCCTGGACATCGCAGGACTGGACATCCCCTCGGACATGGACGGGAAATCCATCCTCAAGCTGCTGGACACAGAGCGGCCAGCAAATCGGTGAGGGGCTGGGGTGGGTGCTGGGGTACCGGGCATCCTGAACTGTATGAACTCGTGGCTGAGCCGTGTGGGTCTGAGAGGGGGTATTTCCAAGGTCGGGAGCTGGGGCTCTGGGGCCCCCCATCCTGACCACTTAACCTGCCGTGGGAGAGAAGGAAGCCCCCTCTCTAAGAGTCCACCTTCCCAGCTGGAATATGGCCACGGTGACCGGTCGAGGACCCTCCAGAGCTAAAACTGTATAAAACTTGAAAAAAGAACAGCAGCAGTTAACACTAATTAAGCACATGCTGTATGGCAGGCCTTTGCTATGCTTTGTAGGGGATTTTATCATTTTGATCTTCACAGTAACGCAGTGAGGTAGGCATTATTATGATCCCATCTTAGCAATTTGGAAATTGAATCCAGAGAGGTCAAGTGACTTGTCAGAGGTCTCTTGGCAGGTCTGGACCCAACTCCGGGCATTCAGCCTCTAGGCTACAGCTAGAGTCTCTTAATCGCCTTGCTCTAAGGCCGGATGGTATGATGGGAACATATTCCTAGGTGTGCTGGAGGCAGAAAAAAGAGCAGTGATGGTGAGCAAAAACTAGGTGGGAAGGTACCCGAGTTGAGTCTGGCGGGGACAGGAGAGGAGGAGGACACTGTCACTGCTGTGGCAGCAGCTACATCTAGTGGCCACCAGTGGTACTGCCCACTGAGTTAGCCTCACAGCACTGATGCAGCCTCCAGCTTGTATCTCCTGCAGCTCAGCGGGTCCAGCCAGCCCTGATAGGCACTGTCTGTGCACATCCGATTGTCCGGTAGGAGGAACCACCTCTGTTGAGCCTCCTCCCTCTGACTAGAAGGTGTTATGAGCTTTAAGAGTACAAAATGGGCATGTTTTGGGGGGCGGGGGCACTGGGTTGGGAGCCAGGACACCTGGGAGTCAGGTGCAGGATGGAAGCTTCCTCTCTCAGCCTGAGGCCCCATCTGGGAAATGGAAATGATAGAGTGAAACTACATGAAATGCACACTTAAATTACACAAATCCAACTGCAGAGGATCAAAGGGAAAAAAATCCGGCCAAAACACAATGTAATTAACCTGAAGTCAGGACAAGCTGCATCTGGTGCTGAACTAAAGAGAAAGCGATCTCTTCCGGCCCTGGGGAACTGTTGGACTTCCTGGGAGGCACGGAGACACACACACACGACTATGTGTGACTTAGAGCAACTTTGACCTGGGTCATTTCTGCCCCATGTACCTTCAGACCCAAGTCTCTGGGGAAATACAGCTCTGCCCTGGGTGGTGGGGGGTGGGGGGCAGTGGGAGCATCCCCCGCTCGCCCCAGCTGCCCCCTGGGTCTGTGCCGATTGTGAATCAAGGCTGGCTCTGAGCACCATCGCTGCCTCTGGGAGGACAGAGGGACACATGAGCCCCACACACTGATGAGAAGATGGAAGTGTGCTTTTTTTCCCCCAGGTTTCACTTGAAAAAGAAGATGAGGGTCTGGCGGGACTCCTTCCTGGTGGAGAGAGGGTGAGTGCCAGGGCCTGGAGGAGCTGCCCCAGGACATTTGAGCTGAGCAGCACCCGGGCCATCCCCTTCTGCCCCGTCCCAGGAAGTGCCTGGCAGCCCCACCTGCATCCATGATATTAAAGATCTCACTGTCTAGGGCAGGAGGGATCCCATTGCTATTATGACACCTTCCACCAGGGGCTGGGAATTTGTGTCCACAGCCTCCTGTATATAAGGAAGCCCGTTTGCTTTTCCTATGGTTGACGTAGAATTTGTATCTGGAGGCCACCTGTATCCTTCAGACACATTTTGTCCTGTCTGTATAATGTCTCACATGCTTTTTAACTTATTGCCAACTCATGTAATTTGGGAGGATTTTTATAAAATCCCCATTTCCTTTTATTTCTTTTTTTGAATTTTTGAATTTTATTTTATTTTGATACAGCAGGTTCTTATTAGTCATCCATTTTATACACATCAGTGTATACATGTCAATCCCAATCTCCCAATTCATCACACACACACCCCCACCGCTTTCCCTCCTGGGTGTCCATACGTTTGTTCTCTGCATCTGTGTCTCAATTTCTGCCCTGAAAACCGGTTCATCTGTACCATTTTTCTAGGTTCCACATATATGTGTTAACATACGATATCTGTTTTTCTCTTTCTGACTTACTTCGCTCTGTATGACAGTCTCTAGATCCATCCACGTCTCTACAAATGACCCAATTTCGTTCCTTTCTATGGCTGAGTAATATTCCATTGTATATATGTACCACATCTTCTTTATCCATTCGTCTGTCGATGGGCATTTAGGTTGCTTCCATGACCTGGCTATTGTAAATAGTGCTGCAATGAACGTTGGGGTGCATGTGTCTTTTTGAATTATGGTTTCCTCAGGGTATATGCCCAGTAGTGGGATTGCTGGGTCGTACGGTAATTCTGTTTTTAGTTTTTTAAGGAACCTCCGTACTGTTCTCCATAGTGGCTGCATCAATTTACATTCCCACCAACAGTGCAAGAGCGCTCCCTTTTCTCCACACCCTCTCCAGCGTTCGTTGTTTGTAGAAAATCCCCATTTCTTAAGTCTGTTGACAATCAGAAGATGTGGCCCGGCTGGACCTGCATCCTCCATGGTGACCCTACACCAGGGCTGAGCGGGGCCGTGCACTCCTCCAGAGCTGGGCGGCCAGCCCCACTTCCGCTCTCTGCCCCACAGCAAACTGCTCCACAAGAGGGACAGTGACAAGGTGGATGCCCCAGAGGAGAACTTCCTGCCCAAGTACCAGCGTGTGAAAGACCTATGTCAGCGGGCCGAGTACCAGACCGCGTGTGAGCAGCTGGGGCAGGTGAGGATGCTCGGCTGGAGCCCTGGGGCTGGGGATGGTACCCCTGCCCTCCCTTCTTCCCTCCCAGTGGCCACCCCGGCTAACCACGACCCAGGCCTGCTCCTCGGCCTTCAGACCAGCGGAGCCAGTGGGGCCAGCGCCCCTGCTGATGTGTGAGACGCAGGGTGATGCCAGGTGGTACAGGCGACACTCAGAAAGTTCTTCCAATCCTGCTCACATTAGAGGCAAAGTCTCCTGGGGGTGCACGTGTGTCGTTAGCTGCTGTGACTCATGCCCAATCCCTCTTTAACAAAGACATAGCCAATCTCTGCACAATATTTACAAAGTTAAATAACCATTTACACTGTATTCACTCTCCCAGAGCATCATTGTGGCTGGTTTTCCACTTATACAGGAATAATAGGAAATTACCTTTTTAAGTAAATAAGTTTAAGTTTTAAAAATGTGAATTGATTTCAAGAGAAATATTAAGGAAATTATAATCCAAATGGTATTTAGAGGTAGCAGAAACTGTGACTGATGTTTCGGAGAGTCTGAACTTTCTGAGGAGGCCTAGGTGGGCGCTGGAGAGGACAGGGGAGGGGTGGGGGCAGAGCCTTGTAAAGAGGGACCCAAGCAGGAGGCGCGCTTCAGAGGTTGCGGGGAGGGGAGGGCCGACGAGCAAGCAGGGCAGACAGGAGGTGCTTCCCTGCCTCGGTCTGTGAGCTGGGACTTTGAGCTCGTCCACGGCGGCTCAGGCCTGAAGATGCAGGCCTGTTTCACCAGTAAGAATAAGTCAAACCAGGGCCTCCACATTCCATTTCTCATTAATAGACCAAGGCTGCCAAGGCCAGGGCATGAGCTGGGTGGGTCTCACAGACTGCATGCAGGCAGCTTTGTCTTATCACTAGACTCAGAATTAGCACCCGCCTGTCCTCGTGGCGGTGCCCCCGGCTGCCCAGCGTTTGTTCACGGCCCGCGACCCCTCCCCACGCTCTGGAGGGCATCTTGTCTGGGAAGCACTTGTCTGTGCCACTGAGCGAGAGCTTTGGGTTACACTGGAGCAGCGTTCAGTGCTGCCTCTGTAGCCGGGCACGGTTCCAGGCACTGGGGCAGCAACAGCCTCAGATGCCCTGGAGAGAAAAGCCCTGCCCTCCTGGAGCTGATGATCTGGGCAGATCCCAGAAGCTGTTCCGATTTCAGTTCTGAGCTACAAGAAATGAGCCGATGAGACCCAGGGGCCCTTTGTCCCCCTGGGATTGTTGTCGAATCCCCCTGCTGGCCCACCCCCCCCCTCCCTGCAGATTGAGGGTCTGGCGGCCCCAGGAAGGGGAGAGGGCAGTCTTCACCTTGCCTATCGGCATCTTCAGAACAGATTATCTGAGCGCACTGCTTAACCCAAAGGAAAGGAGCGCCGGCGGTGGGTTGGGGGCCTAGACTGGCAGCGGAGGCATCGAGCCATGGCCCCCAGACTTACAGCTCGAGGTCCTCCAGGACCCCAGCCCAGCCCAGACATTCCCCTGTCGGCGGATGCAGTCACGGCCCCGCTCGACTGCCCTCCCTCCCCCATCCCCCCAGCCCCAGTGCCACTGCCCGTCTCATGCTGCACCTTCCAGGAAGGCCCTTCCCTGCACACGAGCCGTGCCCTGCAGCCCCGGAGCTTCGCTTAGAGGGGCCTCCCTGTGACTGGGCTCACCCTTGGCCACAGCGCATCACCCTGGGTACCATTTCTGTGCTCCTCCCACGGTGGACAGGTGTCCATCCATGATGGAGCAGCTCGTTCCAATCACAGAGCCCGTTTGAGCCCGTGTCCAGCTAAGGCCGCTAGAGGGAAGTCTCCGGGGTGGACGGGAGCGGTGGGGCAGCCGCCAGGCAGGAGAAGCGGCCGAGCAGGTTGGCCCAGGCCCAGAAGGCTGAGGACCCGGTGTGTCTTGCAGAAGTGGCAGTGCGTGGAGGATGCCTCGGGGAAGCTGAAGCTGCACAAGTGCAAGGGCCCCGCACGGCCCGGGGGCAGGGCCCTCTCCAACCTGGTGCCCAAGTACTACGCACAGGGCGGCGAGGCCTGCGTCTGCGACAGCGGGGATGAGCAGCTCAGCCTGTCCGGACGCCGGAGGAAGCTCTTCAAGAAGAGTACACAGGCCGGGAGGGGAGGGGGTCGGAGGGGAGGGACCGCGCCCGGGCAGCCCAGTAGTTCCTTCAAGCAGATCCACACCCCACCCCTCTCGATCCACCTGTCCCAGGGGGCAGAGAGTAATAAAGAAGGAAGATAAGTTGACAGTGTCCAGGGCCAAGAAGAGCAGGCCCATAAAGAGAGAGTGAGGAGAGAGGGATACGGCCCCGGACCACGTGGTGGGGCCCCTCTGAGACCAGAAAGAAGCCCCCGGAGGGTTTCGAGCAGAGGAGCCAGGATCGGATTTGTGTTTTCAAAGGATCCCTCCAGCTGCACTCCAGGCACTGGATGGGTTCACTTGCAAAGTGGCACAAAATTTCGAGTCACCCAACGTGCAGGCTCCCAGCCGAGGTTGGGCCAAGGTGGCGCTCTGCCTTCTCCCTTCAGCCCTCATGTCTATTTAGTGTCATGTTTGCGGTATTTCGTACCTTTTTTTGGTGACTTCCCTATCTAAAGTGGCCCCAAGGTGGCGCTGACATCCTGTGTCGGGGCCCCAAGCCCAGGGCGGCTGTGATGTGCTTTATGGAGGGGACCACGTAAGTGAGAAAGCTTCGTTCAGGCATGAGTCTTGGTGCTGCTGCCGTGAGTTCAATGTCGGTGAATCAACACGTGCGTTAAATCGGGTGTCTTTATTTTTTTTTAATTTATTTACTTATTTATGTATTTATTTTTGGCTGCATTGGGTCTTCGTTGCTGTGTGTGGGCTTTCTCTAGTTGCGGCGAGCGGGGGCTACTCTTCGTTGCAGTGCACAGGCCTATCACTGGCCGTGTGATGGCTTCTCTTGTTGCGGAGCACGGGCTCGAGGCACGTGGGCTCAGCAGTTGTGGCGCTCAGGTTCAGTAGTTGTGGCACACGGGCTTAGTTGCTCCGCGGCGTGTGGGATCTTCCCGGACCAGGGCTCAAACCCGTGCCCCTTACGTTGGCAGGTGGATTCTTAACCACTGCACCACCAGGGAAGCCCAAATCGGGTGTCTTTAAACAGACGTGACAGAGACACACATGCAGTAAGGCCCAGTACTGATGGTGGACAAGCGTGTTGTGACCCGAAGCTCGCAGGAACCTTACCCCCGTATTTCCCCCAGGAGCACTGGTTCCATACTCGCTAGTTCAACATCAAGGTGACGCTATAGAACAGGACCACCGCAAATAACGGGAATCGACTATACCGTTGACCCCAAACAATGCGGGTTTGAACTCCACAGGTCCGCTTGCACATGGATATTCTTTGATACTGAATACTGCAGTTCTCCACTGTCTGTGGTTGGTTGAATCCACAGGCGCAGAGAAACCACGGATACGGGGGTCTGACTATAAGTTAATACACAGATGAACCCCACGTTGTTCGAGGGTCAACTGTACTTTGCAAGGAGGAAGAGCCCCCCATCCCAACTGGAGAAGCTGCCTTTAACCTTCACCCCTCCCCCCAGCAGGGGCTGAATAAGGACAGAAAGTTAGAAAACCAGCAAGCGGAGGAGGGGAAGGGGGGGTCCTCTGGACCTGGCTGCAAGAGTCAGCTGTCACACTGGGTAGTCATGACCCCGTTCTGAGGGTCAGCTCCCCTGGGAAGCACGCTCCCTGCCGAACGTTCAGATGAGGATGCGCCCGGGCTTTGAGGATGCTTGGCAGGTTGCTGGGTGCCAAGGACCCGGCGTCAGTGAGATCCAGTCCCCTGGCTAGAATGTCTTGCTCCCTGACCTAATGGGAGCCAAAGCCTAATTCGAGATTTTAGTTCTGTTTTCTTTCATTGTGGTACAATACACATTACCTAACATTTACCATCTTAACCGTTTTTTAAGTACATTGATATCGTTGTGCAACCATCACCACCGTCCATCTCCAGAGCTCTCTTTATCCGGCAAAACTGAAACTCAGTACCCATTAAACAACTGTCCATCATCCCTCCCCTGGCAACCACCCCTCTGCTTTCTCTGAATTTGACTGTAAGCAGAATCACGCACCATTTGTCCTCTTGTGACTGCCTCATTTCACATGGCATAATGTCCTCAAGATGCATCCTTGCTGTAGCCTGTGTCAGAATTCCCTTCCTTTTTCAGGCTGAATCAGATTCCCTTGTAGCCTAATTAGAGACTGGGTGTCTGGCGACAGACTGAGGTCTCTTCCTGTCTTTGCAGAGGACACCTTCGTTACAGAGCAGGTGTGTCTCCATAACAACTCGGCTGCTGCCTCAAGTGACGCATCCCAACTGATGATCCCCCATTATAATTCCTCACAAGCTGATTAGTAACTACTAAGCTGATCTTTTTTTAGCGGATAAAATGGTTGGTTGAATTACACAGCTAACATCTTGCTTCAGCACATGGCACACTGGGTAATGTTTAAGTAAGACAAGAACTTGCGACTCAGTTAAGCCTATTTTTTTTTCCTATTAATTCTTAGAGGAAAGAAAAATGCACGTAAATAACCAAGACTCGGCTCAACCCAGGCCCTCCTGTGAGGACGGTGTGACATCACAGCCCTGTCTGATACGCCCCTCACAGCATCCTGGGAGCAAGGCGAGGGTGGCTCCTCACAGCAGACAGGAAAGGTCAGCTCACACGGCCACCTGGGCGACTTGGGCCCCATCACCTGGCCCAATATTCTTCCTCCTGCACGTGCCTGCCAGCAAGATGGTCTCCGTCACTCCTTTCTGAGCAGCCAGCCTAGAGCAGGGGTTTTCAACTGGGGGTGATTTTGCCCCCCAGGGACACTTGGCCGTGTGGTGACATTTCTGGCTGTCGTAATCGTGTGTGATGGGCAGCGGGAGGGATGCTACTGGCATCCAGTGAACGGATGCTGTGGACGCTGCTAAGCATCCTGTGAGGTACAGGTCAAGTCTCCCACAGCCAGGATTTATCCGGCCCCAGAGTGTTGCCAGTTGTGAGGTTGAGACGCCCTGGCCCAGAGCAGCTCAGACCCCGGCTCACTCTAACCCCCTGGGCTGTGGGCTGTGGGCTGTGGGCTGTGGGCTGTGGGCTGAGGAAGCAGACAGAGCAGCCAACCCAGAACAGAGGGAGACCCAGGACCCAGTGGGGGGAGATGAGGCCTCGGGGATGGGTCCAGGTGGCCGGTGTTTATTCATTTCTTCTCCCAACAAATCCGCAAGCCCTGCCATACGCCAGCTGCTGAGGTTACAGAGGTGAACTTGAGAGACACGGATCGGACCTCGTGGGTGAGACCAGGTGTCAGCAAGTTAACAAAGTGGGAAGATCACTTCCCTGGGTGCAAAATGCATGGAGGAAATGAAACAGTGGTGTGACCAGGTGGAGGGGGGCGGCAGCCGTAGGATGGGTGGTCGGTTGACATTTAAACGAGAGCCAAGTATGTACAAGGAACAGGCCATGTGACTAGCAGAGGGGAAGTGCTCTAAGTCAGGGGAAAAGGAAGCACAAAGTTCCTGTGGGTCCCACCCCAGAGAGCGGGCCACACCGCCTCGGGCTTCCCAGGCCTGGGGAGGTGGGAGGGCCCAGCTGTGACCTTGGGCGAGGATGTCACAGCTGCAGTGTCCCTAACTAGCAGAGAAGCGGCTGGATGCCAGCTTCCAGGTGCTGAAATAATTAGCAGGTCTGTTTCATGTCAAACTCCTAAGAGCCCTGGAAGGCGGGTATCGTCATGAGAAGCAGCTGCTTGGAAATTAACTCACTTGCCTGTGTGTTGGCTCAGGATTTGCACCCAGGCAATAAGAGTCCAGAGCCTCAGCTCTTTTTTTTTTTTTTTTTTTTTTAAATAAAATTATTTATTTATTTTTGGCCGCGTTGGGTCCCCGTTGCTGTGCGCGGGCTTTCTCTAGTTGCGGCAAGCAGGGGCTACTCTTCGTTGCGGTGCGCGGGCTTCTCATTGTGGTGGCTTCTCTTGTTGCGGAGCACAGGTTCTAGGCACACAGGCTTCAGTAGTTGTGGCACGTGGGCTCAGTAGTTGTGGCTCACGGGCTCTAGAGCACAGGCTCAGTAGTTGTGGTACATGGGCTTAGTTGCTCCACGGCATATGGGATCTTCCCGGACCAGGGCTCAAACCCGTGTCCTCTGTATTGGCAGGCGGATTCTTAACCACTGCGCCACCAGGGAAGCCCCCAGAGCCTCAGCTCTTGGCCACTGGGTTAGGAAGTGCCCCGTTCCCAGTACATGTGGTAGGGAGGGCACCTCCAGGACCCTGGAAACAAAGACACCTAGGGTGACAAAGAGAGTAAGTGGTGTGGCTTCAGTCCCAGAAAAGGTGTACACCAGGGCTGGCAGGTTTTTGCTGTAAAGGGCCAGAGAGTAAATATTTGAGGCTGTGGGAGCTAAACAATCTTTGTGTCAAATGCTCCATTCCGTCACTGTGGCAAGAAAACAGCCAAGGACTCTGCAAATGCTTGAGAGTAACTTATGTACAAAATCAGGCAGAGGGCTGGATTGAGCCTGGAGGCCGTAGTTTGGGGACCCCTGGGCGCATGGCTGGGGGCGTGGAGAACGCCAGAGCAAGCAACACAGAGGAGCAGAAAGAACCCACTGGGTCTGCTTCCTGGGCCTCTTAGGCAGGGGTGTCCTCCTCCCGCAGGGAGATCAGCTCAGTACTGTGTGCGTTTCGGGCCCAGGCACTGTGGCTTCATGGAGACTGAACTCAGGGAGGAAGAAGCCAAGGAGAAAGCTGCCCGGAGTCAGAAAAGGCCAAAGGCTTTGTCAGAGAAATGCCCCTCCTGGACCTGGACCCCCAGATCCTTTGGCCCATGAGACTCTGATACAAGGAGGAAAGGTACAAGCAACGGCCCCGGGGTCGAGGGCTTGGGGGATGTGGAGCAAAACCAGATCCTGGAGCCCTGGCCTGGGCCCTGCGGAAGAGGGAACCCCGTCCTCCCTTCTTGGGCCCCACCACCTGGCCTCCAGCCAGTCCTCGACCTTTGGTCGCCACCTGGTGGTCATTAGGAGCCCAGCAGAAACCCGGGTCGGGCCTGGCTCCAGGCCCTGCTCCAAAAACAGATGGATG